GACAGCTTGCCGTAAGCCCTCACTCTGCCCGTGCTGCGCGCATATAATGCTTGGATAACATTTACATATTTCTCGGGCACACCTTTCCTGAGTAGACAATTCCAAAGGGCACATCGATCAACCGAATCGAAGGCACCTTTGATGTCGAGGAACACGAAAACGGTGGGCCGCCAATATGTGTGGCGGTGCTCCAACAACTGACGCAAGGTAAAGATGTGGTCGATGCAGCCACGACCACGACGAAACCCGGCTTGCTCCTCACGAATCTGGCTTTCACGAGCGCCAGTCAGTCTGTGGAGAATTATGGACGCGAGTAATTTGGAGGCGATGGAGACCAGACTGATTCCTCTATGGTTGCCGCATTCCGAGCGCGAGCTGCCTTTGAAGATGGGAACAATAACGGAGCGGCTCCAGTCGGTTGGGACAGTTTCCTGCTCCCACAGTTTCACTAGTAATTCATGCAAAGCATCAACAAGAGCAGAGCCTCCAAATTTGAAGAGGGCTGGAGGAAGATCATCTGGTCCCGCGGCTTTGTTCAACTTCAACAGTCCGATCTTACGTTCGACTTCTGAGCGAGAGGGTGGATCCAAAGGGACAGCCCACGGAGCGGGGCGATCAGTGTCCGGCGAATCGAACAATTCTTGCCGATTAAATTGCTTTTCAAAATGCTCAGCCCAACGCTCCAGACGTTTTGACAAATTGTGGATAGGCTGTCCACTCTCGTCACGTATAGTTTCACTAACACCAGGTCTCCTGCTGCCCGTTTCCCGTATCAGACGGAATAACTTACGATGGTTGCCAAGGGCAGCGGCCACTTCCATCTCTGACGCACGATGAGACCACCAAGATTCGCGGTCTCTCTTCAGGCTAGCACGGTGTTTTGCCCGGAGCTCTTTGCGAGTTTCATTGTGCTCGCTTCCAGCCGGGATTTGCCGGCGAGCATCTATAAGTTCCAGAGACTGCGAAGAGACCCAATGTCCATGTTGTCTATTAGACATACCACATGAGGATTTTCCTGCTGCTAGTAAGGTCTGACGAACATGTGACCAGTGACCATCAATTGTCTCCTGTGAGCGCTTGCTCAACTCGCATGTTAGCGTACTTCGATACGCATTCAGACCAGCTGGTTTTGTCAGTTGGCTGGTGTCAATACGCTCACAGCGTCGTCGTGGGCGTCCGCCAAAACGCATCCGCATGTCAGCACATACAACTGCATGATCGGTGTCCACACATGTGCTCCCAATCGAGCGATAATTCTGGATGCAGCCTCTCCAGCGGTAACTTATCGCAATGTGATCGATCTGCGTGCAAGGCTGGTTCGAGGTTGGTGGGCGCCAAGTCACCCTTCGGCGGGTGCTGTGTCGGAAATTAGTGCTCGCAAGAAATAAGCGAGCATCTTCACACAAATGAAGTAACCGCTCACCGTTATCATTACGTGAGCCTACACCGTGTTGACCGCCCAGATGCAGTTCATCAGTGGACAACTTTCCAACTTGTGCGTTCATATCCCCCGCCAGCACAACAGTGTCCGTGCTTCTTCTGTGGCAAAGGAGCTGGGTCAGTTGGCGGTAGAAGCCGTTCTTTACCGAATCATCGCTACAGTTTGTGGGCGCGTAGACAGCGATGATGAATAGACATCTATTAGTCCCGCGCGACTTCGAAGCTTTAAACGAGCCAGCCAATCGGACCGCACACATCCGGCTACTGATTGGAATCCAATCAACCAGAGCAGCTTCAGCCCGGGGACTCAGGGCAATACCAACACCGGCTTGGCCGGTGCTCGAAGCTGCATCGTCACCGGATAGGCGCAAGGAGAAAATACTGCTTGCGTCCCCTGAAGGGGATCGCAGAGTGAGCACAGTGCTCGAGTCTTGCAGGCGAGTCTCTGATAAGCAGCAGATATCGATCGAGAGGGTCTCCAATGTTCGGGTAAGTGCTGCCTGTTGACCGATTTGTAGCAGTGTGCGTACATTGAGGCATGCCAATCTGAAGGAGATCGAGGGCTCCAAATGGAAGCCGATGAACTGGATTGGACCGCTTGGTTGGACATGGGCTTGTCGACAGGAGAGGAGTGACGCTCCGCGTTCACGTGTGAGTTGAAATTAGAAGGTAAATGCCTAGCAAAGCATGTTGGGGGAGGGCCAAGAATCGGGGGGTTGAAAACTGGGGGGATATAAGTGAAGTTGGAATGGGACGGTAAGAGTGAAAAAGCGTAAGAGGGGGAATAAGAAGACGGGAAGGCTTGAGCAGTGGCATCCAAAACCCTATCCACCCTGCTCGATACAGCAGATAGGGCACCGTTGATTATCCTCTGCGGTGGCCAGAGCATCAAGAAATTGTTTGAAGGAAAATTCATGGTATTGCGTGGGCAGGATACTGTCAGGTTGCCCAGGCCTAGACAGGAGAACGATTAGGGTTCTCAACCAAAGCCTTTGGTTCAAAAACCTGACCGCAAGGCAGCGGGTTTGGCGTTGGGCTACAAGGAGTCCATTTTAAGGAATAAGGTGCCACCCTCATTCCAACCCCCAACCTGGAGGACCAGGAGGCTGAGTTTGTCTGGCCTCTAACCATTGACCAATCTGGTATGAGTGACTCTGAAGGTGCAAAAGCACCACCCAGCGTAGCTCAATGAATCGCTGAGGCACACAAACCATCGCACCACGGTAAGGTCCAGCCTCATTGCGATGGTAGGGTTTTATTTAATTCCTGTAGATCGATCACCGTGACGAGGCTTCTCGGGACTAGTTATCCGCTTTAGTTAGGCTTCCAGGGACCGAAAAGCCTTCCCTGTAAAGAGAATGCGGTTCTGATTGAGATTGCTTGAGTGCTTTAAACTAACCCCCGTAACCAGACGACAACCGTTGCTCGCCGCAACTAGGTAGCACAGGAGTAGAGGATTTCGTCGGCATCCCAAAGGTCCTTGAATCGGGTAGATGTTCTGCCCTCTCTGCCTGATGAGTTCAAACCACTGTGAAACCAGTCCGGTGAGCAACACCCAATATTCAACTATTTCTCAGCACTAATCTGATGGCATAATTATCCGACTGGCGAGTTACTGATCTGTCGCAGCTCGCTGCCCGCAACTCCAGCGACCCATAGTTTTCCCCTTCGCAGTTATGAAAATATAGCAACAATCCAGCTCAGCATATTACTCCGGGCACGATGCAACCGGTAGGGCCTAGCGATTCGTCCGTCTTTACCTAAGGAATAATAATCACGGCAATGTCTAACTCATCAGATTATCACGGCTGTATTGAATTGAACCGCATACTTTTGACTGAAACAAACTATGTTACCATTAACTTCAGTTATCGTTAAGTTTAGAAACCCAACTTTCAAATTAAATCACGGTTTGTATGCTCATTCCTAAACATGGCTGATTTGTTCACCCGATTCCACACTCTCATCCCTATGTTTTCGATTAGAATGTGGCAACCTGAGTACAATTTCATCAGAGACCTGAGTGTCTCGGATGAGACCCCAACGCAAATAATTGTTAATCTCGGACCAACATCCCTTGACACAATGTTTGGCGGAGCAACACCGAAATATTTCCATCCATTGACACACCTGTTACTCTGGCCTACGTCCAGCCAGAACCAGTGGCTTAACTGCGCCCGATTGCGTCATTAGTCGGATTCTACAACATGGCAACTAGGGGGAGTATTGAGGGTGAGGTTAACAACTCCCCACATTTAGCCTCCGTTAGTGTGTTGCCGACACAGAATTAACGGGGGATTGAAGTCAGTTTATCAAATTCTCGCAATCGTAGAGCTCAAAAAATTGGTGTTTGCGATCAGTCGGTAATTGGCTTGCCGGCAAAGGGGTAAACTTTTTACGCTAACCTCGATGTGGCCAAGGTCTGACGACTCACGAGCCAAACCATTTTAGCAAATAATTGATAGTGTTGGGAGGAGCAACCGCCAAATATTTCCATTCCGGATACGGTCCTAGCGATCGGAATGACCGACGTTTACCTCAAAGTGAGCCGCGGTCTCAATAGAGGTTGCGAGTCGCAACCCAACCACACAGCGTATTCGCCAAATTCAACTTTGAAATAGTTGTCTTGAACCAGTGCTAAGATCAGGGAATATCCTCATTGGGAAACTTGTGGGCCTGCATTGAACAAACTGAAATACAACGAAACGAAACGGCTGCGATAACAGCCGATGCAAAACGGCTGATTTGCGTTATGTACATGTATGTACATGTATGTATGTATGATGCGCTGAGGCTGGTGGTGGCTATATCCAGCGAGATGGTCTACCCACTGCTGCTACTCTTGTGCCATTTGCTCATGTCCTAGGCGCCTCCTCGTGGCGACCGCTGGGTGGAAGCTGAGTTTCGCCCTTCTCCCTGCTAAGATCCAGGACACCAATCCGCATGAGTCAGTGAACTGACCATGTGCTAGACCCGCTGCCTTACGGGTGTTCATTTAATCGAAGGCTTTGGCTGCAGACGCAAGTCGTTCTCCTGTCAGGATTGGGCGCCCTGGCAGTATCCTAGTCCATCCTCTTCGGAGGTTAGGAAGTGGTCGATGGCCCTCTTCCCGTAAAACCTAGCCATGGGAGAAAACAGGTCTACGGGTTATAAGCTCACAGCTCGATTGGCGTAGAGCACGAGCGCCACGTATTGTCTCTGACGGTGGGAGGGCACATCCGGGTGTTCAATGGTTTGCTACTGCCCGCCTCAAGCCAGGCAGCCCCTGGTCAAATTGGTGCAAACCCGCCAAAAACCCACCTGCGTCTGGCCGTGGTCGCAGGTGCGTATCCAATTACGGTCGCAAAACATATGATAACTGTTCCAGAACCTCAAAGGCTGCGTGTGACGGCCGTCAAGCAGATCCCAATCTGTCTCTGCAATCACATTCCCGAGCTGGATCTGCTCCCCACTGCCTTGTGGGTCAGGCTATTGAGCCAAAAGCTCCGGGTGGAGTCCCTCAAGCAAACCACCGAAGCACAACGACCACCTCGCGTGCGATTGCCCACCAATGCAGTCGTATGCCTGCGCGCAAAGCACTCAGCATCGGGTGCTGGAACGTGCGCACACTACTGGACCGGAACTCCAACGAGCGCCCGGAGCGACGCACTGCACTGGTCGCGATGGATCTGGCACGCTACTACATCGATATTGCGGCTCTCAGTGAAACCCGGCTCGCTGAGGATGGTAAGTTGCATGAGGTAGGTGGTGGCTACACATTCTACTGGGTGGGCAACGCCGCCTCTGCACCACGTGATCATGGGGTCAGATTTGCAATATCCGATCGCCTGAATGGCCAGCTGGTGGGTGAACCAACGGGCATTAGCGCGCGACTAATGACTGTTCGCCTATGACTCGGAAGCGGTAAGTTTACCACCTTTATAAGCACGTACGGTCCGACTATGTGATATCCTGATGACACGCGTGATCAGTTCTACACTGAGGTATCCTCCGTGAAACGGTCTTTGCCGAGGAGCGACCGACTATTTCTGCTGGGTGATTTCAACGCGCGCGTTGGGCGTGATGCATCAGGGTGGACAGATGTTATCGGCGCGCATGGCATTGGTTCAGCGAATACAAACGGTGACAGGCTGCTCTCACTGTGTGCCACTCACGGCCTGACGATCACGAACACTCGGTTTGCACTGAGTGCGATTGATATAGCAATCGGACTCACCCACGGAGTGGTCACGCTCACCTGCCCGACTATGTCATCGTACGTCAGCGTGGTATGCGTGAAGTGCGCATGACGCGTGTACCGCGTGGAGCTGAGTATGGCACTGATCACAAATTGGTGCGGACCAAACTGCACATATATTTTCCTAAATCGATGTATTGCACTCCCGCCGTGAATCGGCGTAAATTTAACATTCTCTCCCTCGGTACTGTGACGAAATGTACTGAGCTGGAGAAGGCAATAGCTGCACGCCTGTGTGGTGATGTGGACTGCATAGCCACAGTGGGCGAACTGTGGCACCACATTCGCGATCAGGTGACAGCTGCTGCCGAGGAGACCATCGGGCGCGCAAACTGTAGGCGGCCTGATTGGTTTGATGACAACAATGTGACGATTGGCGCATTGGTGTGTGAGAAGAATGCAGCATTTGCTGCACATGTGGCAGATCCCAGTGACTTGGGGAAGAGCAGTCAGTTTCGCAAACTTCGACGGCGACTGACCGGAGAGCTCCGTCGCATTAAAAATGCATGGTGGACGGAGAGGGCAAAGCAGATGGAATGCTACGCCGAACACCGCCAACACAAGGAATTCTTGGACTCCTTGAAGGCGGTGTATGGACCGAGATCGGAGTCGCTGAGGACACGGAGCGATGGTAGTTCAGGGGCTACCTGCACCCAGACTGCAGACATAATGCAGATCTGGCGGAAACACGTTGACTGTCTATTTTTGTTCGTCGCAATCAGCCGACAATTCACATATGTCGACCAGCTGTCCGGAAAAGCACCAGATGCCGTTTCGCCCTATTGGGGCTCATCAGTGGTGCGCATCCTTCGGTGCGCATTCATAAGTAATACTTTGACTGTCTCTTGAACAACCGTTCAGAGATCCACTGGCCTACATTGAACGGCCTGAAGCAGCACGATGTGAAGGCGAATCTGGCGGACACGCTGACATTGGATGAGACGCAGAGAGCGCTTGCTCAGCTGCGAAACGGCAAGTGTGCCGGTGCCGACGGGATCACGCCCGAAGTATTGAAACACGGCGGACCCGCGTTGTTGACCACGCTGCACCACTTGGTGCAACGTGTATGGATTGAGGAGGAGGTGCTTGCTGAGCTGAAGGATGCCCTTGTGCTACCACTGTACAAGGGCAAAGGTAGCAAGCAATGTTGCCCGAATTATCGTGGCATCAACTTGTTGAGTTGTGTGGGCAAGATGATTGCCCGAATCCTGCTCAATCGCCTTGTGAGTCAGGTTGTGGAATCGAACGTGGCGGAAGAGCAATGCGGATTTCGTTCGGGTCGCTGCATCATAGATATGGTGCATGCGGCTCGTCAGTTGTAGCAGAAGTGCAGAGAACGACACCAGCCTTTGGACTCGCTTTTTGTTGATTTCACCAAAGCATTTGATACGGTGAACCGCAAGGCATTGTGGCTGGTGTTGGGTAAGTTTGGTTGCCCGCGTAACTTTGTAAGTTTCATTGAATGTCTGCACAGTGGTATGCGAGCGCGGGTGCAGCTGAGTGGAGAGACCTCGGATGACTTTGCGGTTATCTCTGGTGTGAAGCAAGGCTGTGTCTTAGCTCCTGCCCTGTTTAATGTATATCTTCATGCAATGTTGTCTTGTGCTTTTGATGCGGCTTGTGGTTACGATGTTCGTGTGGAGCACCGTATTGATGGTGGGTTGCTGAACATCCGTCGTTTCAGTGCGAGAACTCTAGTCTGTGAGACAACTGTCTGTATGTTGCTGTTTGCTGACGACTGTGCGTTGTTTTCACACAGCGCGGATGAGTTGCAGCACATGACTAGTGCTCTGGCTTCGATAGCTGCCAAATTCGGGCTCACCATCAACACAAGCAAAACTGTCTGTCTCTTTCAGCCTTCACCGGAGGTGCAATCTTCCATATTGCCGCGAATCAGCATTGGAGCTGAAGTATTGGGAACCACCTCCCGCTTCTGCTACCTTGGGAGTGTGATTTCGACTGATCAGCAGCTACACAGTGAACTGCGTATCCGCGTGTCGAAGGCAGCGGCGGCATGCGGGAAGCTTGAGTACCGAGTGTGGAACAACCGTCAGCTTAGCATTGGCACGAAGCTGATGGTGTACAAATCCACGGTACTGTCCGTTCTTCTATACGGCAGTGAAACGTGGACGATGTATCGTCGGGATGTGCGATATCTCGAACAGTTCTATCAGCAGTGTCTGCGACGGATTTTGCGCATCGGCTTGGGCGACAGAGTCGCAGACACGGAAGTGTTGCACCAAAGTGGGATGTATGCAATGGACTGCATACTTTTGCTGAGACACCTGAGGTGGGTCGGTCATGTGAGCCGTATGGATTCAACTCGGATACCGAAACAACTATTATATGGTCAGCTGAGTATTGGGAAGCGGCACGTGGGGAAACCAAAGTTACGATACCAGGACATGATTAAAGTGAGCCTCACACGTTCTAATCTTGATTGCAGATCATGGGAATCGAAGGCGGTTGATCGGCGTGCATGGCGCGATCTGATCACGAAGGCAGTTTCTGAGGTGCAGGAGAAAGCCCTCATGCATGCAAAGAAGAAGCGGCAAGTGCGGAAGCGGTAAGCTCCGATGGGTTGTTCTCCATCGACATCAAGCGCAAGGTGCTGTAGAACATGCGGTCGCGAGTGCCTTAGTCAGGCAGGCTTAGTGATCCATGAGCGAGTCCACTCTGGACTACTACCGAAGCGACGACGGGTTCTACAGAGAACGTAGGCAGAACCAGGCCGCGATTTTAGGTACGCTGTATTCGATTTACTAACCGCGTGCTTGCATGCTAAGTCTCTTTATTTCAGGTGGTGGGATTTCCGTTTTGTCCTAGTGCCTTTATTTCTCATATAAATGTCTAGTGAGCGACGGGCGACACCACTCGGGAGCACTACCGAGGCGACAACGGGTCCTGCAGAGAAAGTAGGCATAACCGGCGCGGCGTTTGTAGGTACCCTGCATTCGGTTTACTAACCGCATACTTGCGTGCTAAGTCTGTTTGTTTCAGGTGGTGGGTTTTCAGTTTTGTCCTAATTCTTTTCTTTCTCGTATACATGTCTACCTGTACTCTCTTCTAGAAACTTGCACACGTCAGTTAAGCCAATTTTAGTCGATTTGGATAACATTTTTGTGTTTGTGGCATTTCTGTAAAGTATACTTTCTGATCTCATGAGCTTTTCTTTCATGCTTCTGTAAACAATTTACTTCGTGTGCTTATTACTTTAAGTTATATGCCACACTTTCCTTATGCATTAATCGAGTTATTTTCTTTGTTATCCTTCTCTCAAGTGATTGGGTGTTGCTTGATATCCCTGGTGTGGCTGCGCTTGATGTGCATGTTGACAAGGTGCCTACCTGTCTATTACCCACTACCTCTTCCATACTGGCTCCAGGAGACAGTTGGTCGTTGCTGTAGGGGACAGGGTTCACGGTCCTTGTGGTCGTGCTAGGCTCGAAGAGTGGTTCCATGCAGTCAGTGTGGAGCGCACTACGGTCCGGCTACCGCCTTGTGTGTGCGCTTGATTCCCAAATACAGCGTGCTTGTGTTTGCCTGTGAAGGAGTGTGGGCCGGCTCCGTTGATGAAGCATGGCTCCCATCCACATGCCTCCCGGTCTTATTCCTTCGGGTTTACACTGGATATGGGGTGTGTGGTTGGAGCTGTGGGTGGTGCAGCGCAAGCCACCCGTGATCGCTCTGTAGGCGCAGGCGTCCTGTGGCTTGTCACAGTGACAGGCAAGACCGAAACCGGATGCCGCCAACCATATATATATATATATATATATATATATATATATATATATATATATGTATATGTTAATTTGCCAGTCAGCAGATGACACGAAATGGTTCCATCTCGAAATACCAGTCTTCTCATTGTCTTTTTTAGAATGATAAAGGGAACTCAGTGCTTTAAGCTTTAATAAAGAACTGTTATTATGAGGTTATTGGAGAGCTCAGATCGACTTCTTCCTATGTGATCAGGACTGGTGTTATCACGTTCCCAATTTCACGAAACTATAGTGTCATCGAGAAAACGCTGAATAATACTACACGTGGTTCGGAGAGTCGCATGACTGATACCTACAGTCCTTCTGGGTCAATGTCAGCCCCTCCAAGGAGAGTTGTATTTGCGCTTGGCTAGTAACTTTTTCAGCACCGTTACTGCAGTGAATATGGTGCTGGTTAAACATGTTATTAGGGGAATAGAAGCAGAAATATCGTTCGGGGCTTTTACCCCTTAGAACATAGGTAAGTGGCCGCCGATTTCGCTGTGTGTGTATACCGATTAATCCTATTGAGTGGTGGAATCCCCCGCCCAAACTTACGAAATCAATTCACGTGTCTGTAAAGAAGCTTGTGGTTTGAACGGATTCTTTCCGCAAACTAATGTTGGTTGGTCAACTAATCTCCATTATCTAACTGCCCCGAGTATTTGCAATGAGTTACGCTGTCCAATTTTCTACGCTGGGATCCCTCTTGTATACCCGCCACGTCTGATCTCTCGCTTAGGTGAAAGAAGTGTCACACAACTATGTTAAGTGGTTTAAACTAAACTTGTAACAGCTGTGGTCGTGCACGGGAGTGATGGAAGTAAACAAACAAACAACCTCATGAGCCCTGTGATAAATCAGTCAGTCGATTTTGACCTAGTGCTAGGTCCAA